AAGAAGAAAGTCAAGTCTGCTCAGGCGACGGCGAAGAAGCAATCTGCTGCTTCTCAGGAATCAGATTCTCCGCAGTCTTCCTCCGGTTAGCATTTTGGCTACTCATGCTTCCCCTCTTTCTATTTTTTGTTGATTTCTTATATAAAGTTTCTATCTTTTGGCATTTCAATCTTGTCCCGTGCTTTTTCTCTTCACATTTTTAGGGTTTGTTTTGAATTTCCAATTTTAGGGTTTTTTATGGGTTTTTTCTGTTTATTCGAGATGATTACTTACGTTTAAATGTGTCTCTCTTTCACTTTCAGCAAACATTCAACCAGATCCGCGTTTCTCGTTGAGGCTATTTGTGACTGATAGGTTCCCCATCAACAAAATTAACATATATTCTTCACCGGAGATCCTCCCATTCCTTTGTCATCTTCTCAGAGTCACTCCGGAGTTCAAAACCATCCGACAGTCTTGTTTTGGAAAGCTATTCGACATTCCCTCCCGACAAGCTCCCATATCTACAAAGCTCATTCACTCGTTTCTCACTCACCAACTACTATGTGAGTACGAGCACACGCTCTGGTCGGTTTTTTTGGAGGGAACCCTCTCCGTTACGGTCTCCAAGAGTTTGGAACTGTAACACGTCTGAATTGTGGCTCTTTTCCAAAAGGTTATCATCTTGACACTGCCAAGTCAGTTGTTGCAGGCAAAGATGGAATTTAGAAGAAAATTTTTGGGAAGAAGAAGATCATAACTATAGCTCAGCTCTGTCAAATGCTTGAGGAAGAGAAGAACATGTCGGGTTGGAAGAAGATTCGTATAGCTATGTTTTTCATAGTCGACAGCGTTCTCATTGCGCACGAACAAGTGCCGCGGCCCACTCCTCGATATGTGAGCATGCTTTCAAGCCTCAAAACCTTCTTTGCCTTTCCTTGGGGTAAAGAATCATTCTTGAAGACCATCTCGTGCATGAAACCACCCAAGCCTGCTCCACCGAAGATCAAGGATCCTGTCACTTGGCTCGTGCACAAACTTAAGCAGCGATCTTTCCGTCTGCAGTGCTTCCCTCTTACACTCCAATTGGTTGCCTTCCGCGCCATCCCCCAACTGCTTGAGTTCATCCCTGCTCCTCTCGACCACCGCACGCTGATGGACCTTGAAGATGGTTACCTACCCCAACCGGCTCCATCAATGCCCTTCACATCAGGCGTGTCGAATTCTCCTCTAATGTAAGTAATCAGGCTAGTATATTTGGCTAAAAAATGCTATTCTATTCTAAGCCACTAAGACACTTTACGTTTTCTGGTAGGAATTACATAGCTTTTGAATTCTAATGTTTTCATCGACATTGCTAATTCACCAATAAGATACTAAACTAAGACTAACCACTTCTATCTAAAACTAATTTTACACTAGTTAAACAATGTCCACGTCCACAATCCCAATTTTTGTAAGAACCCATTAATTTGTTACTCATACAATGTTTAATCATTCAAAGATAAGAAGTGTTTCGTCCATTGATTTGATGATTAATTTTTGGGGTTTAATCATGTTCTCAGCTATCTGTCTCACCGGTCATACCTATCGAAAGCCAAGCGAAGCCTGGTTGGGGAGAGTGGTCCAATAAAACAAAGGACGATCGCATTATTTACATGGAATATTTGATATCTGATAGGTACACATTCAACAAAACAATGTGGCATGGTGGGGTAACAACGGAGCCTTTGCTTAAACAGCCTAAAGATCGTGGTCACCGTCACGGGAAGAAGAAGCCCACTCGGGTCAAACAATCTCTCAAACCAAAGCCGCTCATCAAGAAGGAGACGTCTTCAAGGAAGCAAAGACGCATAAGTTTTTACTTCACTCACTTAAATGTCAACAGTTTCACCAACTAACAACTAACGAAGATTGTGTTGGGACTTCAAAAGCAGATGAAATAGATGCAAAAATTACTAAAGAAGATGAAGAGAAAAACTCATGGAAGGAAATCATCAATTCATACAGTGCTATCTCGTACCAAGAAGCATCAGACATCTCATCAAGAAGAACAGGTAGCACCCTTCGATCAGGTATAATGTTAGCACACTTTCATCTTGTTTTGTTCATGAAGACTCTTACAGTCTTTGCTATTAGTTTCTTATGAACCCTTTCACTTCTGCTTATAGAATGTTTCTCCCACACATCAGAGCGGTGTTGAGCCTTGCACACGTCAAACCTCTTGATATCGATCCTCCAACTGATATTATTGTAAAATAAAATTGATAAATATAAAATACATACTCTGTTTCTGTGTTCCCTATAGGATGTCGATGCTATGGAGAGAGATGATCATGAGGTGCCCCAGTCACCTATCATAAGTCAGTACGCAGCTCATCTCCAGCGCCAGGCTTCTGAAAACATGAACACGAATTCCAACGAAACCTTCCACACCACAACTGTCCATGTCTCTGCTGACCACAACACAGTCTTTTCCCACAATTCGAAGGATACTGAGCTGAGCACTGATAACCTCAATCCCACAGACCAGGTAAAGTTCAATCATTCCTGGTTTCACATTGAATTACAACTACCAGTTTCTGCTAATAGAATTAAGGTCAGTTCCTGTTAATGGACCACCTTAATTAAACATCTTTTCTGTTTCTCATGTTAGGATGTGGATGCTATGGAAAACAACACATACACCGCCCACAGCTCACCTGAACACAGTTCAGAAGATGACCTGAATCCCACATATCAGGTAAAGTTCAAACATTCCTTGTTTCACATATAATTATAAGTTCTAGTTCCTCCTAATGGGACCACCTTAATTAATCCTCCTTTCTCTTCTCATGGTAGGATGTGGATGCTCTGGAAAACAACACAGACACCATCCACAACTCACCTGAGATGATCACTGAGGAGCACAATTCAGATGACGACCAGGTGATGTTCAGTCATTCACGCTTTCACATAGAATTGTTCCAGCTTTCACATAGAATGTCTCTTTTTTTTTTCTTTCATCTCATGATTGAATGTCGCTGTTAATCTTGACTAACTATTTTTGGTTATCATGGTACGATTTGTATGCTATCATTTTAGGATGTGGATGCTATGGACCACGACACAAATGATATCCATAATTCCAAATTGTGTAAGATGTGGGTACTTGTCATTAATGAGCATAATGTTACGGACAAGGTGAGTCTCACTCATACCCTAGATGTTACATATATGATTTTCATGCAGCACCCTATTACCACATGCACACTTTCATTTACTTTTCTGTTGTTTGCATGGTAGACTGTGGATGCTATGGAACACGACGCAAAAGATGTCCACATCCCACCTGACCACGACACAAAAGATGTGCACCATCAGCCTCAGTCACCTAGAAAAAGTTAGAATGCCACCGCCAATGAACCTGATAACAATATCCAGACAACTTATGTGGCCCCCAATCAGAAGACCACAGAGTCTCGTACTTTTGGGACACTATACCCGGGACGGTGGGACCCCCCTTTTAAAATCTACGATAAAGCTGATTACCCAGACAGCCCCAAGATTAGTCACATACTCTATCATGGTCCTCAAAACCCACATTGATGTGTAAGATTTACTAACAGCATCTCAGTACTTGTTTCATGGCAAGATTTAGCAATGTTGTCTTTATTCTATCCCTTCTTTTTAAATTTATTGTGTCACAGGTTCCATTGCACTCCATATGAATTCGAGTTTTCAAACAAATATCTGCTCGAAATTTCTCAGCCTAAGCAATGGACAACCGCATATGTAAGAAACTATCTCTCTGTTTTTTTGTAGATCATTGTCTGCTGTGGTTTTGTTTAACTCGAAACATTGTTAAATGTCCAGCAAATGGAAATTCTTGTCCATATGCTCTCTGCGAGACACTCTGCAATTCTAAAGACTGAAAAAGCAGCTTTCGCCCCACCTACCCTTGCTTCAGCTATAAACGAGATTTTTAACAATTTAACAAGTGTGAAGAAGAAGAAGGACATTTTCGTTTGAGACGAGTGTTTGGTCGACATTGTTCTCTGCCCTGGAAAGAAATGGATGGAGGACGTCCACACCATCTACACGCCTATGCTCTAGAAAAAGTCTCACTGGGTTGGGTTAGCAATCAACCTCGATATGGGATTGGTTGAAGTACTTGATCCTCTCCCCGCTTTGCACGGAGTAAGACGCATGGCTAACTGGATGTAACCCGTGCTGGCTTGCCTCCCTTACCTTGTTAAGAAAGTTGCCATGTGTGAACTAACTCAATTCACTGGTGTGAAGCCTTTTATCTGCAGCCGTATTCCAGCTATCTACATTAACGGTCGATCCGGTGATTGCGGACCTGTTACCATGAAATTCCTAGAGTTGCACGCACATGGTGATCAATCCCCTGGAATGACCGGCATCACAGACCACATTGTCGATGACATACGCAAGCAGTACGCAATGGACATCTACAAGACGTTGGTGCTGCCTGCGTACTATGCTGCCCACTGCAATGATGATTAGAAGCTTCTATCACTGTCTCCTCCAAACTTTTTCTGTGTAATATATTGGTAGAGTCGGAGTACTTTTGGTTTCAGTGCTTTTGTTTAGCTAATTTCCGGCCATGTAACTCGCGCAAAACATAAACCTATCTCTAAATTTCCACGCATAAGACTTGTTAATGTCTTAAGACTACGTAGGTTTTTCTTCCTGTGGGTAAAAGTGGTGCTTTTACTACTGAAATAATTCATCAGTTCTGCATTTTTCATGCTTAAACTGATGACAAATGCAAAATTTTTATGTCCCAGAAACATCCACAAAATTCATGTCCACATCCACAACCCAAGCATTTATCAGATTTTCCTGTCCACATCCATAACCAATAAAGGAATCTAAAGTTTAATATTTTACTAAACGACAGACCCCATGATAAAATTCATTTCCATTAAGTATCTTCACCAACAAAATCCCTAAAATGCTCCCAATTCTCTCAAACTGTTTCGAAGTCTTCCATCCTCTCGACTCCTATATTCTTCATGAGCTCGTCCTCTTCCTCTTCACTGTCACATACAGGGAGACAAACAACTGAAATACCCACTCGTTGTTGGTGTGGAGCTAATCTGACTACATTTGGTGCTCAAACCAAGGAAAATCTCTTCCGCAGGTTCTATCGATGCGAGATTTGGCTCAAGGTACGTTCAATCCCAACCATCTATTGTTAACCAATTTGACATCATGTGTAAGACAGTTCTAATCCTCGTACTCATTATCAGAGGAAAATCGAGCACCACTTGTTCAAGTGGGTCGACGAGGCCGTTGTTGACGAGATCAACATGGTCGATGCAAAACACTCTCAACTAAAGGAAGATGTCGACTCTTTCAAGCTGTGCACAACAAGAAGTTTGGAAAAACAGGCCAAACAAATCGAGCAAACCCTACACCAGATCAAAATGCTAATGGATGCCAAGACAAAAAGCTGTGGTACTAAGGACAACTCAGCTTTGACCTCAGAAGATACTCTTACGTCCCCCAGGATGTCCTCTTCTGCCAATTCATTGACCAAAATCGCAGTTGCCGCCATTGCACTTGGAACAATGGCCTGGATCTACGCTAGGATCAGCAACTAGATGTTTAAATTGGATGTTCCAGTGTCTATTTTTTTGAGTATCTGAGTATTTAATCTTGTTCTGCTATGTTAGGATAGCAACTAATGCCTTTGTTTCACAAGTACTATTGGTTCAGTGTGCAATGCTTCACACTAGTACTATATGTTTAAATGGAATGTTCCAACGTCTCTGGTTCTTGATAATATTGTTCTCATATGTCCTGATATGTTGTGATATCAACTAATGCTTTTGTTTCACGAGTACTAATCTTTTGCACTAGTGTTATTTTTCAGGTCATTCATGAACTTGTATTCTAAAGTCCATCTCGATACATATTTCCTGCTTAGGCATGTTTACTGTGAACATCATAAAAAAATACTAAGAAACATATAGAACTGTTTGTCCACATCCACAATCAACCCAACTTTTAATAAAATCTCTTAAGAATCAAAATATCACGGCTCTGAAGATATTGTTTATAAAATGAAAATGAACAGAACTTATGTGTCACCCACAAATAGTTTGCTCAAATCATGAGTCACCAACCAAAAATTGTTTGCTCTCCATATATTGTTTCAAAAAAGGAACATCAAGAATAACAATCACATAATCCGCATGGATGATCCAATCCAGTATCCCCTTAATCTCCAAAACAATTCATGTCCTCATCATGAACAAAAAAACATCCCCAACTCCCTCCCAAAAACAATCCCCCATACATGTAACAAAATAACTCCTTCCGCTACAAGCTTAGATGGGACACACGCAATTGGTGCGGTTGTGTCCAACTCCCCTCCACCTACCACATTTTTTCTGATTCACTTTCTTCTTCGGTACCTAAAACAATACAAACAAACCTTCCTTATCAGTAATACTTCGATTTTCAACATTTGCTTTATACATCAACTTTTCTCACCTTTATCTCTCCTGTGGAGGGAATTCGTGTCTTGTGATGACGTCCAGGCTGCCTCTTTGTGATGGGAGGGTATACAACCACCTTTCTAACTTTCTCAGGTATATCCACATCCCTTGGGTCTTCATCTGGATTGATCACACCTGCATATGTCTGTTGGTGTCAAAATCGGTACTACATAATCAATGACCAAAACTTTCCGCAAAAAAAAAAAACGTTTTATAAAACATGAGAAGTTGTTTTATAAAATTCTAAGGAATTTCCGAACAAATGAAATCCACGCGAAACTTGGAAATTATCATCTCGGAAAAACGAACAAAACAATTCCCGATTACACGATTGCCCAAGTTAAGGGAAAAACTGCAAAAACCGCATCTGTCGTAATCACGAGCAGGTTCGATCGAACCAGCTCGCCGTAGGGCGAGCTGGTTCATTCAAATCAGCTCGCGGTACGGCGAGCTGATAGTCTCACAACAGCTCCCTGTACGGCGAGCTGAACCAACCCGGTTCGGCTCGCCGTACGTCGAGCTGACCGTCCTGCGCCTTGCTCCCCCGCATCCTCAACGTAAGGCATACATCCTTCGATTCGATCGTGCTCTGAACCATGGTCGAAACCTATCTCGTTTCATCTTGATCCGTCTTATCATTCGAGTTTTAGGATAAAAATCGTAAAAGTCTTATTTTCTCGTAATAATTCGGAAAAATCGTATAAAACGGCAATGATTAGACGGAACATCTTACATTGTCAAACTATACGGTTAAATCGAGAAATTTTATAAAAATGGCATTGTATCAGGAAACGATCGCGGCTAAAATCGTAAACGGTTTTTATCGCAAAACGGCTCGGAAAGTCCTAAAACGCGATAAAAACCTATCCACAGTTTTAGACGAAGTCCAGCCCAAAGATAAAATGACGGTTTGACAATTTACTCGCAGAAAGAAGATAAATGTCAAGTTTGAATATAAATACAATATTTCCGCAGAAAAATGGAAAGATCGAGATAAATGGAAGATTTCCGATAAACTCGAATCTTGGCGAAAAGGAAGGACTAAACCGCCTAAGAAGGGAGTATATAAGCAGAAGGCCAAGGACAAAAGAAGAGGACAATTTTTAGATCTCTCACCACCAAACTTAGCATTAGGAAACTTTCCGTTTTTTGTTATCGAGTTGCGTCTCAACTAGGGTTTTCAGTCTTAAGTTGTTAGAACTAGGGAACTCGCCAGCAGCTCTTGTATCCAAGGCTTACTCTCGTTGTACCACTATTACGCAGTTTTCGGAATAAGAATCCTCTTCGCTCTCTATCTCGTTTTTCATATATTTATGTTTTGTTATCGTGTCCTTGATTGCTTGTGTGCGGTTCCGCAGATAGCCGGGTCCTCTGGGATATTAGAGTTTTCCCTAAGTTCCTTTATTTACGTAAAATCGACAGGGGTGAATTTTGGTTCCCACAGTTTGGCGCTAGAAGGAGGGGGGGGGGGGGTCGGATCTATCTTACACTCAAGCCGCATCACGTTCAATCGAGAAACAATGTCTGGTGAACAACAAACTCGCGACGAAAGCGACAACGTTGACAAAACACCACCATTAGATGTGTCCACGGTTAACGCTAACGCTAACATCGAGACCATCGAAAAGATGCTCTCCGACTTCAACAAAATGTCGGAGGAGCAAGAAAAGCTTATTGGTTCACTCGCAAAACAGGTCGAAACCCTAACTGCGAGAACCAAAGGAATTCGCCCCCGCGGAACTACTAAAATCCGTGGAAGGAGGCTTGATTTCGCGACTCCTATGGATCATCCCAGAACCGAGTAGGGTAATCTGCCGGAGCAAAACTCCAAAAAGATAACCCTGACGCGACGCTGAACGAATCAGACAAATCTTCTACTCGCAGACAAGAGACCGAAGAAGACGATGTCGAAAGGGTTAACCTGGAAACAAGCGACCAATCCGATCCGTCGGATGAAGATGCGGACGTCCATCCAAGGAGGAGGAAAACTCGCAGCCCTCAGCCGGAATCCTCTCCCGAGAGTTCTCTTAGTGAGGACGAGGAGGAGGTCTACTGCGTGCAACGCGCAAAAACGGCCGAGGAACGATCTCGAGTTACTCGCAGCAAACGCCGACAAGGTCGGAAAACTGCTGGCGACCTAACTAAGATTCGTGATCTCCGCGACTACATTACTAAAATGGCCGCAGCGGTAAAAGCGGTGAAATCTCAAATTCATCATCCTACCAGCGCTGCGCCTAAGATAGATTGGCTGCTATACGAATCTCGAAAAACACCTTTTACAGCTCGCATCACCAAGGTCAAGCTACTCGATCCCGAAAAGCTGAAAGTGCTGACTTACGATAGGACGACCGATCCCAAAGCACACATGCAGGCCTTCCAAATCACCATGGGACGAGCCAAGCTCAAGGATGGCGAAAAAGACTCGGGCTACTGACGTCTTTTCGTCGAAAACCTAGAAGGAGCAACGCTCGAGTGGTTCACCAAGCTTAAGCAATTGGGAGTTTCCACCAGCTTGCTTCCGAATTCCTGAAGCAATACTCGATGTTTATAAATCGGGAAACTTCCGACGCCGACCTCTGGAGCTGATCCCAGAAGGAAGACGAACCTCTCCGCGACTTCATGAGTAAGTTCAAACTTATCAAGGCTAGGGTTAGCGGAATAAGCGACAGAGCCGCCATCGACGCGCTCAGAAAATCGCTCTAGTTCAAGTCGAAGTTTTGAAAGTGGATAACTCTCGAGAAACCGCGGATGATCCAGGACGCGCTCCACAAAGCTACCTATTACATAACCATCGATGAGGATACTAAAATCCTATCTGAAAAGCATAAGCCGGCTAAATCGTTCGCAAAGGACATCGCGTCTGAGCAGAAGCTGAGAAAGAAAAACCCTCGTAATGACAAATTCGTCCATTACGAAGGACGGGATCTCCAAGGGGCGCACAACTACGCCATCAACTCTGGATCGGAACAGGGGCGAACTACGGGGAACACGGGGTCAAGGAATTTGAATTACGACAAAAATCCTTTATGCGATCTCCACCAGACTCGCGGGCACTCTACCGTGAACTGCAAGGTTCTCTTCGCCAGACTGGTCGCAAAGTTGATCGCATGAGAACTCTCCGAGGTATCCAGCATGAAGGACGTCATCCGCGATTCGTATCGCCCCCCAAAAACTGATAGGAACTCGCGAGCGGAAACTCCACCTTAAGGGAATCAGCCTGGCGAGAAACGCGAACGAAGACAAGATGAGAAAGGTAACGACGCTAACCGCCGAAATATCAATATTGTGGGAGTCGATTTCACCCTACTGTCAAATAAATCGTAAATAAGGAAACTTCGGGAAAAACCCTAAGTTTCCAGAGGAACCGGCTATCTGCGAGAACCGCACAACAAAGATTAAGATGACTGAAATATTTAGAATAAAAACGAAAATAAGAGATTTGAGAGCAAGAAGGTTCTTATTCCGAATCTGCGTTGAACTGGTTACAAGAAGAGTAGCCGTAAACGTAAGAACTTAGAAAAACCCTAATTGAGACGCAGCTCGCTAAAAGAAAAACGGAAATATTCCTAAATGCTAGTTTTGGTGGTGAGAGCTCTGAATTTCGTGTCCTTTGCTTCTGCCCTAGACCTCCTCTTTATATACTCCTCGTCTTGGCTATCCGATCTTTCCATTTCGCCCAGATTTGACTTAAATCGGGAACTTTCCATTCTTCTCGATCCTTCCTTTTCTTCTGCGGAAATCTTCTAT